GCCGATAGATTAGCCACAGAACGCCCAAGGGTTCCCTCAAGCACTGGCTGTGTTAATGCAGCGTGATTGGTAGTCGATCAGGCCAACGCTTGGTCAAATCGAATGGAAGACCACTCAAGTTCTGTCGCATGCAGGCTGTCTCCAGAACATCAAGGCAACCTGACATTCTGAAAACGAGCATGCTTGAACAGTCAAGTGTCGAGCTTAGGATGCCGGAAACAAACATAACGAATTTGTTCAATGCAATCGAAGCTGGCATATGCTAGGTCAGTTAGGTTCTAGAAAACTCTCAACTTGTGCTAGACCTCAGGGTTCCAGAATGCAATGTTGAAAAAATTAAAACCCTCTGCTCCCCGATGAAAGACAGGCTCTGCGTCCAGTAACAAAAAGCCGAAGACAGGGCGAGCAAAACGATGCCAATCAAAGAGTCAGGGTCAACCTGTTCCTCATTCCTCATCAGCTCTTAATTACACTTCATTACGAGTACATACGAGTACCAAGTCGTGTCATTGCCATCTTGCCCAATGCGCCGTTTGCCGTTGCCCAGTTCCCCGTTGGTGCGGCGCGGCACCAAGAGCGTGAGAACACCCAGCTCATCTCCGCCGCCGACGGCCAGCATCAAGGGCTCAGGGCAGCTGAAGGCCAAGGACTTCACACTGCCGGGCACGTACTTCTGGTGGATGCTCTGCCAGTCGTTGGGTCTCATCTCCTCAGTCAGCGCGAACGGTTTTTTAGACGTGTCGCGAACGTGTCGTTGGGTCAGAAAATGGACGTCGTCTGTCTTTTTGCTGGGTGAGGAAGGGGTGAACGAATATGAAAAAATCATTCACGGGGCCAAAGGATCTCTAGGGACTCAAAGGATCTAGGGACTCTGCAGGTCATTTTCTACATGAGGGCCTGGCAAAACCTCCTGTCAAGTAGAAAACAATAGAATACACGGTTCAGCAAGGTCATCGCTTTTTGAGGGGGGCCTAGTCGCTTTTGGAGGTTTCAGCCCAATTCCTGAAATTCATGACAGCTCTTTGCAAAATTAGTAAATAGTCATTGCACGTTTTGGCGGTTGCTCTGACATGTCCCTTCCCACACCTGGTTCTAGGGGCATCTGGAAACTGCTAAAAGCTCTGAAAGCTGCTCACTCCATCTCACTCCTTCGGTTTTCCTTCGGCCCAAGCACTCGCCAAATGATCACGTGCCCATCCGCCGAGCCCGAGGCCAAGAGTGGAGCACCCTCCAGGTGTTCGGCCCATGCGAGGCACGTGGCCGATCCTCGGTGGCCACACAGGGGCGCCGCGCCTGCCACGTGCACCTCAGTGGCCACGTAGCACCCGACCGGAGATCGCTGTCTGGGATGGACCTGGGCGCTATCACAGAGTACATGGGGCAACGATGGGCGCCGAAGAATCCAGGAGTTCCATGGAATTCCCCAATCGTTTGTGAAAATTGATTGGGAGTTCATCACATTCTCGCTCACTCACCTTGGGATTCTTGGCAGCCCGGCCGTGCCATCTTGATGGGCGGTGGCCAGAGTCCTCCAAAATGTCACAACCCACGGGTGGAACAACTTAGGCCCTTGTCCATCCTTTTTCTCACACCGTGGCGTTTGGCTACGTTCGTAGCACCCCTTGCTCCTACTAGCGATGCCCTTTGTTACTAGTAGCGGCTACCTCTTGTTCCTAGACCACGTTCGTAGCGTCCTTGTTTGGCGGACGGAAAATCTATCAAGGCGTTGCATCCGGCAACCGAGCGTGTGGCAAACGCATGCCGCAAATGTGTTCCAATATCATCCAAAATCCACGCATGCCGCCATTCGTGAGCAGAATCCCAGTCAAACAACCTCTTGGCAAAGCCTTCATTTTGTTTAGAGGAATGAAGGGGTCGTGCAGCTCAGTCAAAAGCGGCCAACTCGCAACACTGAAGCAGCGAAATCCGTGTTTTGCGTTTGTCAACGATATGACCCTATCACTGCCTCCCATGATACTGGGCATCGTTAATGCCAGAGGCCATGGCACTATGCCGCCATTTCTTCGACTTGACTTCCTGAGCTGTGTGGTTGTAGTGTCCGGCAGAAGGCGGCTCCTTCAATTGCCTGATTAAACCCAAATGCAAGTGCTGGGACAAAGGAAGCTTGAGAAGGGTCCCTTCCCTTGGCAAAATGAGCATCTGATGTTCGACAGGTCTGAAAGTCCCTTTTCGTAGAAGGATACCTGAAGCCTCGGTTTGGGAGAACCTTCACTCCGTCGCATCTCCTTCTTCAGTAGGCTCTTGAAGGTTGCAAACCAAACGATAGACAAGCAATCGGACAGTCAGCCGGTTCTCTTTTGCATGATTCTGCGCATGCCACTGTGCACATCTTCCGCTTTGGATGTCACAAATCTCTCTACCCGAAGAACTGCACAGGTCTCAGGGGTAGAAAGGATAGCATTGCCGTGTGCATCTCTTTCGGTGCAACAGCCGCTCTTTCTGTAGCTTTTGGACGCTTTCCTGGTGGCTTCCTAGTGACCATATGGAATCAGTGAAACAACGGTTGCGAAGCTACCACTTGCCAAGATTCAAATGATCTCATTCATCTGACAGGCGGATTTATGTGGCAGGAAACGCAGCTATCAAGCGTGAACCCAGCCCAGCTGAGTGACTGCAATTCAAGGCACATGGCTTCTTTGCTGTTGTTGCAGCTTGCCAGTGTGTCGTTTGCCCAGCCTCATCAGCCTCTGGGACAGGGTGCAAAATCCCATGCACCAGCACCAGGATGGAGCAAAAGAAAGCGGCAGAAAACATCACCTGCGAGTCTGCGAGATGTGGCTTCACCGTGGTTCAACAGGATTCCCAGCATGGCTCCTGCGATCTGCCTTCTGTCACCTCAATTTCTGCATGTGGGTCTGTCCATGCGCTCAACCGTGTTTGGGGGTTGGAGCGCGCCAGGCCTGTCCGACAACGCAAAGTAGGACGATGGCAGTGATTCCGCTCAGGGCCATCCATCTTTGAGTCCTGAGCGGAGGCCATCGCTATTAGGTTGGAGGTCATTTCTTCTAGGTAGGGGGGCACCTAGGCTTTTAAAAGGGTCAACACTGCACTTCGATGTTTGGCTTCGAGGCCCTTTGTCCTCGGTGCGATCGAACGGCGGCAAAGCATCGAACGCATTGGGACGAACCCCAAACCCTTAGATCCCTCATCATAAGCTTGGTGTTCTCGAAGACCTACCGGACCTACCGTTCATTTCTTTTTCATTCCTTTTCATTGCTTTTCATGGACAGGTCTCATCCCGAATTCTTTGTGCGAAGCACTGACCATGCATGGTCCAACTTCTGGGCACACCGACTTCCCCATGGGCATGCCACCCACACTGACCACCCAGTTGGGGTCGTCGTTCTTCTTGAGAAACAACTGGCGGACGAGAACTCCCCGTCGGACCCGTCGGACCGGGTAGATGCCGTGGTTCGAAAACGTGTTTGTTTTCGACCCAATCCTCCGGAAGAGCAAGTATGTTTTTACAGAAAAAGATGGTAAAATATCGCCAACTGCTTCAGATTGCTTCAGTTTTGGATCCTACTGAGTGTTTGATTGCATGTATTGGACTCTATTGGGAAGCTGAGGCTCGATGATACTCAATGATACTCAATGTGTGCGCGGGCGTGCATGTTCCCCCCGAGGAATGCTGAACAGAAGCCGAGGAGGAACTAAGCTTTCCACAATCCACACTGCAGCCATCACACAGATCACAACCCTCAGCATTCAAGGTTGGTAGTTGGTACACGCAAAGATCTGCCAAACATCTGCATTGATGCAATAATGATTGGATGACATCCAAATGCTTCAAGAAAACTGTTCAATTTGTCGATGTGCACCAAGAGACCCGAAAAAAAACAGTCCTACATGGATGGTCGGCTCACAGATTCCTGTCGCTTTGCTTCGTCTCAGTCCAAATGGTCTGCGTCCAAGAATCAAACACTCAGGGTGAGAAATGATGGCAAGAACCATCTGCAACAGAAAGACCACTGCATAGTTGATCTGAAAGTGCCTGCATCTCACGTTGATGGCTTGCGCTGTCTTTGTCATGGAGTTTCTGAAATCAAACAAGCATTGCTTTTGCAAGTTGGTTCGCGGTTGCTATTATTGTATGTAGCTCCGTTGAGATTACAACAAAGGCAGGCAGAAGGCCGGCGCTGCGAGAAACGAAGAGACACGAAACTGAACAAGTTCTTCAGATCTGTGGCCAAATGATGGTGAGATGTTGAGACCTTCAAGTGTCACAACTCCTAACTCCTAACTATACCGACACACAGGCGGGTCATCGTCAGACGGGTCATCGTCAGAGATGGGTCAACGACCGTCAGAGGCGCGGAACACTTCGCAAGGCTGATCTGCTGAGGCTAAGACGAAAGGTTCATCTGCAAGCGTTTCTGAATATCACCTTCAGGTTTTGACCTCAAACGCTTTCGGCTTGATTAGATAGATTCTCAAGGCTGAAGATCTGTCAATGATCTCAAGAAGGATAGCGGAGCGGTCAAAGCATCATCGTGAAGGGGTTGCGTTGCGTTCTTTTTCTTCTCGTAGAAAAACAGCTGACGGTGGGGGGGAGTTCAAGACCGGTCAGCTGAAGCACAAGAAAGCTTCTTTGGTGAAATGCTTTGGGTGACCGACAGGTACTAAGACCTGTGAGACAGTCATTTTAGGCATCCATCTAAGGCTGCCGCTACACTATGGGCGAAACGTGGTGAAACCAACGAAATCGTTGAGCCAAAGGATTGATCTCAACGGCCGAACGCGTTCGGGCGCGTGTGATTGGCTGCCCCCTCTTCGCGACCCGTTCGGGCGACCCCACAATCGGATGAATTCCCGCCAGGGGCGGAGCTGTGTCAAGTAGTGGCCATACCTCAGGATGTGATCTGCACGATCGTTCGACAAACTCTCTTGTCGATTCCTTGGACCTCCCTATGAGTGGCCTGTCTTGTATGAAGATGAATCGGGATCCTTATGAAAGGATCACCTGCAGATCTGGCACTTTAGCTTTGGAGTTGTTGTAGCACCATGTCCAGAGGTGTTGCTAGGCAATGCTCTTGCTAATTCTTGATTGAAGTTGATGGCTACGTTTTCCACATGTCGATGCCCAAGCTCCAGCCTCACTGAATGAATTGTCATGCGTACCAAGGAGAAAGCTGAAAAGACACAGGCGGGTTGCGTCCTAGGTCCGCCAGGTCAATCCATATACAGCTAATAACCTCCTAGAGCCGGTATGGAGATCCATGATGCTTGTGATAATATGGACTCCATCGCTCCCAGAATACAGCTCTTATGATGGACTCAATCATGATCTCCGATGGCATTTAACATCTCTCTCCCATGACCATGGACCTCACAATCACCAAATCCTGTGATAGGACAAGGCCCAGGTGCTTCAGCTTGAACGGCTCGATGGCCTGCCGAAGCCAGTGGCTCAGTCCAACCACAGAAGTCATGGAAGAACCAAAGGCCCTACTCACGGCGTTTCAGCATGAACCGCCACCAAGGACCACCTCCCACCAGCTACGTGCATCCTTCGGGACGCACGTAGCTGGCGCGGAGGGCAGGCCACGGCCCCTCCGTGCCGAACGGAGATCTGAGAGGTTGGACAAATGCAGAGGACACAACCACACACCCCTCAATGCTCATCTGTGCTCTGCCCGGCGTGCCTTTCTAAGCTCCTCCATTTGGGAGAGTGGTGGCTTCTCTCCATCCATGGTGCCCTGCCAAGCAGGCTGCATAGCTGCCAAAAACCAGCAATTGCCCAGAGGTCCGTGTTCCGCCATATTCCGCCGTTCCAGCCACCCTCTCATTCCAGCTAAGCAGTCATCCCATCTCGAACGGTTCGAACGGAAAAGCAGTTCGGCCCCAAGCCCCAAGCCTGGACACCTGCCGGTAGATCGGCTCCAAGCTTTTCCTGAGCAACTGGGAGCTGCAAAGATGGTGCCCTTTGGCATCATATCCCCAGCAAAAAAGAATTATTCAATCTGCAGGGCGTAGCTCCTGTATTACCCCAGTCGAAAAAAATAGAACCATAAGTTGGCTCCTCAGGTTTGTCGAGCTTGCATATGTGCAACAAAGCCTTTGAGCGTATGCTTCCATGTTCGGAAGTTCCTCCCCGCAATGGCTTGTGGACGCTCACGTGGCCTAGTCCCAGTCGAATTTCGCTCAGCCCCTCACCGCCTCGGGTGTCGCCATCGCTCCGGGCCTCAAAGAAAGTGGGGAGGGCATCGATTCCCAGAAGGAAACCATTGATATGCGCTAGGTCTAAAGAGCTAAAGAGTATTAAAGAGGTAAAGCGTGACTTGAGGTGTGCAAGACATCTCCACGTTGACCATGCTGCCATACCCTATGAGTCCTATGAGACAGCCTAACATCGTGCGTCCAACGCCTCGCCCCTTCCAGCCTCGTGCTCGGCGTCAGGGATGCGATACTAAAGGATGACCAGACTGAGAGCCGAGGACATTGAGATGCGCTGACAGCCAACCTCCCGGACCTCCGAAACAGAAGAAAGCACTTGGTCAGTGGTCAGTTCCTGTGGATTCCAACATGAAAGCCTCAGAAGCCTTAACGCTATGTTGCAAGGCAAGCTTTAACTTCCATTCGGTTTGGCGACTTCAGTGGAAATGTTAACACTTAGAGTAGCCGATGTGCGTTCCAAAGAACGCTGTCCACGGTCTCTTTTGCACGCGGCGTTCAACATCTCACCTATCTAAGTTCAGAGATTCTTCGAAACCGCGACGGTCTCGCACGTGTTGCACGGCGAGAAGTCGGACGCTGATCTCTGAGAAGCATTGGCTGATCCAGTCGTACACGACCAACGTTGGACCAGAAGAAAAGCGTGCCAAACAATGCCCAAGAAACCCATGTGTTAGATCTCTCCATGTTGCGGACGCCGTTTAAAAGTCCCTGCATCTACGTCCATGGACTCCATCGACGTCGGATATCATATATGACTCCGATGTTCCCCCCCACTCGCAACTCCTTGAAGGATGTCTCTTTCCTTTGTCTTCTGCTGACAAAGGCTTGAAGGGAGTTGGAGCCGGATTCTGAAACTACAAACTGGTTGGAGTCTGAAATTGAGGTTTTGAAACTGGGAGTCTGAAACTGGAAAGTCAAGAATCAAAATAGTTGCGGAATCCCGGTTGCGGAATCAAGGGAGTTGCGGAATCCGACTTGATCCCTTGATGGTAAAGGGAGGTCACAATGGTCACAAGTTCTTCTGGTCTACCACAAACATACTTTGTACAAGTTCCGCATGTGAGGAGAAGAATGAATCCCATGAAGCATGTCAGCAGCATCCACAGCATCCTGAGAACAGTCTGGGAAGTGCAAAGACATCATTTCGCGTACTGCGTTGATTGCAAAACATCTACTGCAAGACACATGTGGAGTGCTTTGTCTCAGCCGAACCCAAGTGTCTCATCTTGCTTCTCTTGAAATATCTTGAAATTATATATAAGTACCTCAGGTTCCTTGATCCGCAACACAAGTGCACGCTCACAAGGCCAACAAAACAGGAACACTACACAATCAACTGCAAAGTCTTGTGTGGCCACATGTGCACAACGCACCAATGTACATTCCAAGCCCAGCGGAAAGTGAGTTCCATCCTCCATCTTCGTTGTCTTCTCCGTTATCATCATCCTCATCCTGAAGCGCAGCCATCACATCTCGGTCCATGTCACATGATCCAACCTTTTCACATTCGAGGCAATGTTTGTCTTCGCCAGGTCTAATCTGACTCATCTAGGAGCTCGTCATGCGTTCGCGCCAAGAATGAGTGCCTGCTACATCCTGTTTCATCCTGTCACCCCGTTGAGTTTGTCTTTGGATGTCTTTGACATTCATGCTCTCACTTGAGTTTGACGAACACACTCAAGCAAACCCGGACACACCAAAACTTAATATAGTTAAGACTCAGACTCAAGACTCTTCACGGATAAGGAAACAGAACATTTCGGCCACTGGGTATTTCCATGTTCTTCAGTCAAACCCTGTCAATCCGCAAAACCTCAAGTCACAGCTACTCCCCACTGGGTGACCCACCTCATCAGCACCTCCTCCCCTGGGCGGCAAACCGCGGCCAGACAGATTGGCCGTCGCCTTGGGCGATGGGCGGATGCCGAACGAAACTGTTGGAAGTCCACGGTCATCAAGAGTTTTTTCCCAAGTTCATCTGCCATCAATCATGGAAGTCCAAGAAATATTCCAAGCAGTTCGGAAGTTCCCAGAGCGGTCGCGTTGCCAAGCACAGCATGGTTCTGTTCTCCTGCCCGATGCGCTGCAATGAGGGAGATGTCACCCAATGAGCCGCATCGGAGCCACATTCGGAAGTTGAAACTTCGAAACCCTCGAAACCTGGATCTAAGTCGACCAGGATCCAGGCCATTAGAGCTTCTGGAGAACTCATCACTTCAGCAAAGGACGTGTACCTGCTCGGAACCAGGCAAAACGGGCAAGTTGTGAATGCAGCTATGCTCAGTGCCGTGGGATGTGTGATTCTGCTCCAAGTAGCAATCCTCTATGAGGATGATAAAGGCACACATCCACACCACAAAAGCTGGCCAAAAACTGGCACAAAACAAAGGCAAGGAAAAAAGATGTTCTTCGATCGCAAAGGTCTTTAAATGGGTCTTTCTCAAACATGATGGAAAATCCTACGTGCGCGTAACTTCTGTACATGCCCGATTGGCGTTCAATCAAATCAACGAATGTCTTCCAGGTTTCTTATCATCTTTTCCACCTCAATGTTTCTTGTCACCCACCTGGTTTCTCATGGGATTGCCAAGTCCTTGTCCACTTTGAACTTCTGCATGAACTCTTTCACCTTTCCTGACTTCTTGGCATCTTCAATAAACTCGCAAAGCAGCTTGAAGCCCTGATCTCGTCCTTTCTTCGTGGCCGCGGCCTGTTCCACCGCCATGAACTTTCCCGGCAGCAGCCTGGTGGCTGGTCGCTTGGCGCCATCCTTCTTCAGCTTGGGTCGAAGGCCGGCCACAGCTTCCAAAGCATTGTCATTGAAATGAGCATAGGTGGCATCATGACCTTTGATCTTCTCCAAGGTGGCGTTTTTCAAATTTCGCTCCAGCCACAGCACATATGCTGCACCATCACAACCAGCAATGCGCACGCCGGCCTTGTCGACTTCTGCGCAAGTACGAAGCCCGGAGGTGGTGGGCACAGCATAGGTGGCTTCAATTTGGCAATAGGGAGGCGTGAAATCAATGAACTCAGCCCGTGCTGGGTCAGCGCCAATCATCGCGACATCCCACTTGTCTTCTTTCGCATCATCTGCCAGCTTGTCCGCTGACTCGTACTGCACGTATTCCACCGGCACCCCTAGCTTCTCCGCAAAGGCACGGCCCATGCTGGGTGCCAAACCTTC